TGCCCGGCGCCTCGGAGTCGCCCATTTTAGCGGCCTCACCCAGCTGCCTTCTCCGCAGGGACTCCTCCACCCTGTGGCAGAGCCCCGGGCTCCTCCGGGGCTGTCGCTCCCTGGGGTGCCCTCTTCGCAGAAGAGGAGAATCCACTGAGCGCTTGTGGGGCCCTAAAAGCAAACGTCCCCAAAAAATCCACGCGGCTTATATCGCCATCGCCTGAGGCAGCGCAGAGCCTTTCGGACCGCCGTGCTGCCGCATTGTAGTCCTGATGGTCTTCATCGTAAAGAGAGTCACAAATAAATCCGTGATTTCCAGTTCTTGGCCCTCAGTAGCATTAACATGCTCCTGTTTTTTCCCAGTTTCCCCAAACACGCGCTCCTGCAGCGCAAGCCCAGCCACTAGTCTAATTTGCCGCGGCTCGGGCCTTGTTTCAGTTGTGTTGTCATTCATGTGGGGGCAAAAAAGCAGAGGGATAGTAAAAGGGGACAACATGCTTCAACAGAGTTACATCTAATATATGCTCGCTCTCTATATAAGGAAAAGCAAATGTATTATTTTAGGATTATATCCTCTTTACTATCAGATAAACTATTCAACACTGCAGGTTAATATCAAAAATTGCTCTTAATGGAGTTTCTCAGTGTTTGCTCTTAGCAGTAGACAAGTCGAACTGTATTCCTATTTACAATTTAAATGTGGATAAAAATTATTTCAAAGTATAAATCTAAGAATACGTGCACAATTTGATTTATAGACCCATATGAATTTTCGTTACCATTTTCGGTGTGTTCACATTCATGAAATACTTTAAATGCAAAGACTGTTCTCCACAATCGGCTGGAAAAGAACGTTTCTCGAAGGCTCTGGTCCTGGGGTCGCCAATGTTTTCTGTCGTTCATTTGATTTACAGACTGAACTGATTCACTGTTTCATGGATGTTTAACGTTGGTGGCTGATCATAACTACCTGATTGTTATTAAAATGAATGGCCATGGCATGGAAAGCGCTTATGGTTGCATTTCTGCTAACCTTTAATGGATTCATAATACCAGCGGCAGCTACACAAAATAGGACTAACAATCTCAACACATTACCTGAAAAATTACAGCTCGAGCACCCAGCACAACTAATCCACCCCAGCTGAAATGCCTGAACGAACAGATGGACCCCTGCGCTGTGCAGTGAAGGATGCTAATCCGAGATCCTGACAGAGCATTAGGGAGCATATCCTGGAGTCGGTGCCTATCCAGCGAGAACAGCCTGCTGTGCAGCCTCAGGAGCTGCCAGCGAAAATACCTTTGAAGGACACAGCTGCCAGAGAGCAGAGAGCACAAATCTGCCTCACTTCACATATGCAAAGCTTTTAAATGGTGATTATTTAAGATAAGAACCATGTGTTATCACAGTCCTCTAGGCTGAGTCCATGGCATCTGCCAGAACCATGTTCACCCACTCCCGGGTAGCTGCTCCCTGTGCAGACATGTCCTTCCCCTTTATTTCAGGGACTTCTCTGAAACGCTGTCCTGCTCATCTGAGGACCTCAGCGTTCCCAGGTCATTTATCCCTTCCTCTCCAGCATCTCTGCTCTGTTCCACATAATAGAGGCTCTATGGGGAAGGGGAAGGGAGGAGGAAGGGAAAGGGGAGAAGACTCCTCAGAATGGAGCTAAAGTGATTGCTTCGCTGTCTGGATAAGAACCAGACCGTGAGAACAGGCTGTCAGCAAACCTCCCGCACAGCTCTGTGAGCGCATCAGCTCTAACCTGCAATACCCCCATTATCCCAGACATACGCTCCCCAGGAGGACCTCAGTCTAGACCTGAGGCTCTCCACATCACTGTTCCAATTGCAGATCCACCCTGCTCTGCCTAATTACATCTTTTCTTATCTTTCCAGGCTGGGAATCCTCATGCTGCCTGCTTCTCAGTACCAAAGGCAGTATGAGATACATGGCAATGGCATCAGGACCCCCATTCCTTCCTGGGTCAGCCCTCTGGCCCCAGATTCTGGGCAAAATAACAAATTAAACCGATACATTATAAGATCATCTTGCCTTAGAATAATAAGGTGATAGAAGGTCCCTGCATGCAAGCAATTCTTTTTATACATATATATATATATGAATAGGTGCAGAATGCTGCCTTAGCAGCCCTTCACACTCACACTGTACTGGATCAAGCTGTATACAAATTTCCATGGAAGAATAAAAACAGTCATGCTCCTGGAGATACCTGTGGATACAGATCCACATAGCTGCAAACCTACTTAAGGCTATGTGAACCAGGCCTGTCCTCTGCTGCCCTGCCGCTTGCTCTCGGTGGCAGCAGAAAGCCTAGAGCCAGTTCCCACTTTCGTAACACGGTTTCCACACAGCAGCCTCTTTTCACAGTTTTCACAGCCGTATTCCTCTAGTCTTTGTGCAGTGATTCAGGATGGAGCCTTTGCTACCTCTGAGGATTTGGGTTGCATTGCTGGGGCACTGCAGAAGAGCCACATGAGGGGAACGTCAGAAAGGCCGGTTTCTTGAGAGCCAGAGGGACCTCGCAGGCTCCTCGGCACCTTCTTAAGGCTGCTATGCCATTTCTACATGTAATAAAACACCGTAAGTCTCTGCAGTGAGGAAATACTGCCTCTACAGACAGCAGCTCAGCCAGGAATGGGCTGGGATAGGACATCGTCAGTGTGCGTATCCACACCAGCTACACGGCAGCCCGCCGCTGCCCCCCCGCAGTTACCACCCCGGGGCTGGGGGTGCCGCCAGCCCCAGCCGGCGGGGTGACGGGCTGCCTTCCCTGCCCTCGCACCCGGCCACAGGGAGGACCATTCAAAACACCCATAACCTTAGCAAAGGGGATGCTATGGGACGGCTCAGATGACACAACCTATGCGCTAAGTACGCATTATTGTTTTTATGCATGATGAAAAGGGCATAACATTTACTTTCAGTAAATTTATGATTGGGAAAGTGTGAACTGACTGGAGCCAGTAAATAACAAATGAAAAAAATACATCTGCACTTTATCAGGTCTCTCACGAAGCCTCACAAATATCCTTTTCTAAAGGACATATGCTGCAGGTCAGCAGGGATCAGTCTCCATCTGAATTCCTAATTTTGCAAATTTTGACAGAAATCAGAATGAATTGATTTATTCAAATATAGCACTGCCAAGCACTTGGCCCTGATGGCATCTGTCCTCTGATAGTGAAAATCTTCAGGGTGGTGGTTGTGGGCTCTCTTCGATCATTTGCAGCTATATGCTTTAATCAAAGCTTATTTCATTTCCATTGGACAAGGACCAAAGGGAGCCATAAATAATCTTTCATTTATATCTCCATAAAAATTACTTGTTAGAAGTGATGCTTCCTTCATTTCACTCTATAGTCCAGTGTCAGGTCCTGGCTCCCTTCACCCCAAAGAAGGTTCTGCAGCTTTTACTCAGGAAAAGTATTTATCAACTTGGACAGACCACAGCAAGCCCCATGCCACTAGAGTATATAATTTAGGCTGCTCATGTGCTTCTCCAGCCAGTATATGCCTGAGCTTTGTTAATGTTCTTTTTATTTATTTATTTATAATGTTTAGTTCATATTTCTGCAGTATCACAGGCTCTTAAGACCTTCAGTGATAGAGACTACCTAACTTCTCTAGGCAATGTGCTCTGAACAGCTCATTTCCATCTTAAAATTAAAGTAGGTACTTCATTCCTGCCCTCAGTAGATGGAGAGAACAGTTTATTCTCTTTTCCTTTCACCTCTTTTATGTATATGAAAGCTGTTTTTAAGTCTTCTCGTGGTTACCCCTTCTCTAGACTCAACAATTCCACTTTTTTTAGCCTTTTTTTCCATATTACATTCCTAGACCTCGTATCCTGTTGCTCTTCTCTGGACTCTTTCCAGCTGATTCACACCTTTCCGGAGGCGCAGTTTCCCAGGCTGGGCTCTGCTCTCCAGGCGCAGCCTTACAAGCACTGGCTGGGGCAGAAGGACGGTTATGTGCCTTTCACTGACTACTTATTTATACATCCCAGTATGGTAGTTGCTCTTTTTGAAATAGGATAGTATTGTTGAGTCATGTTCAGCTCGTGATTCACAGTAATCCCCAGATCCTTTTTGCTGGAATTGCCATGTAGATGTTTTAACCTGTTCTCTGCTTTGTGCTGTTCCAAAGCCTGCATGTGGAACATTGCATTTCTCCATATGGAAATTAAATCAAATTTTTTACATATCTCCAGTTTGTCCAGACCATTCTGAATGCCAGTCCCAGCCCCTTACATGCTTAAGGCACACTCAGCTGGAATTGGAAAATCTAATAAGCATACTTCCTAATCCATCATCCGAGTCATCAACGGGAATTATCAGGGCAGCTCCCAACCCCAGAGAGACCTCCAGAAAACCCTGTTCAATGCATCCTTCCATGTCAACAGCAGACCCTTGATAACCC